TTACAGCAATAAACAAGAATATTGTTGTTTTGAGACCATTTTCCTATAACAATAATAATGGTATAGTAACAAAGCAAGAACACATTCTCAAAGATCAATAAACGTTAAACTATATTGAATTAATATTAAATATCCAAAATAAATGAACAAAAACAAGAGGAGCAATAAGAGAAAAGCCCAGTTGAGACCAAAACACCAGACTGAAAACTTTTATCATCCAGGGACAATAAAATGCTAAATCACACAGACTGACCCAGCTGAAAAACGTAACAGCGCTTCATATCAGTCCCTATTAGTAATTGATTACTTTTTTGTGTTAAATATCATAAATCCTGCCAAACTGACAGCCTGACCCGTTTTATCCAGTTTTCTCTCCTCGTCGTTGTTTTTCATTTTTAAGCAGCTGTAAACGTTCGATATTCGCCCGACAGAAAAACAGAAAGAAAAACAGAAAGGAAGGCGACTAATGCTAAACATAACAAGGTGAGGAAAAAGTTTTGATAAAAAAATAGTGAGGGAGCAGGAAGCAGGTATGCTAGCTTGACTATGACAACCTGAACATGGGGATGTGATGTGGAATTCGGTGTTTTTGGTTCCGTTAACAAAGGCGACCGAAACAGGAAGTCTGCCAGATCAGCAATAAAGCAAGTGTTTAAATCTACCACCGCTATGTTAGCTTAGCTAACAGCAGCCCAGCTAATCTACCACCGCTATGTTAGCTTAGCTAACAGCAGCGTAGCTAATCTACTACTGCTATGTTAGCTTAGCTAACAGCAGCCTAGCTAATCTACCACCGCTATGTTAGCTTAGCTAACAGCAGCGTAGCTAATCTACCACCGCTATGTTAGCTTAGCTAACAGCAGCCCAGCTAATCTACCACCGCTATGTTAGCTTAGCTAACAGCAGCGTAGCTAATCTACCACTGCTATGTTAGCTTAGATAACAGCAGCCTAGCTAATCTACCACCGCTATGTTAGCTTAGCTAACAGCAGCGTAGCTAATCTACCACTGCTATGTTAGCTTAGCTAACAGCAGCGTAGCTAATCTACTACCGCTATGTTAGCTTAGCTAACAGCAGCCTAGCTAATCTACCACCGCTATGTTAGCTTAGCTAACAGCAGCGTAGCTAATCTACCACCGCTATGTTAGCTTAGCTAACAGCAGCGTAGCTAATCTACTACTGCTATGTTAGTTAGCTAACAGCATCCTAGCTAATCTACCACCACTATGTTAGCTTAGCTAACAGCAGTGCAGCTAATCTACCACCGCTATGTTAGCTTAGCTAACAGCAGTGCAGCTAATCTACCACCGCTATGTTAGCTTAGCTAACAGCAGTGCAGCTAATCTACCACCGCTATGTTAGCTTAGCTAACAGCAGCGTAGCTAATCTACTACCGCTATGTTAGCTTAGCTAACAGCAGCCTAGCTAATCTACCACCGCTATGTTAGCTTAGCTAACAGCAGCGTAGCTAATCTACCACTGCTATGTTAGCTTAGCTAACAGCAGCGTAGCTAATCTACCATTGCTATGTTAGCTTAGCTAACAGCAGTGTAGCTAATCTACCACCGCTATGTTAGCTTAGCTAACAGCAGCGTAGCTAATCTACCACCGGCTACGGATGGCGAGGAAATCTGACGATGCAAAGGAGGATTCCTCATTAGGTCAAGAAAACTGTGGACAAACCTGACCATCCTCTTCATGAGACCAAGTGTCTTCAGTCAGAGGCTTTTTCAAATTTACTGTAATACAGACTGCTACAAGAAAACCTTCCTGCTATTTCCTAACTTAGAAGATTTTGAATTTATGAGTTAAAGGAACATTTAATTCTCATTTTGCATCAATAAAATATTTTTGAATTTGAAAAGAATCGTCTTTCTGCCCGTTGTACGCAGGAGCAAGATTTTGATGGAAACAATATCATCAATAACATCGTCTAGTAAAACAGGCCCTTTAAGAACAGCCAGAATTTGGATCATTGTAAATAAACATAATGGATGTTATTAAGGCCTTAGGGATGAAATCATAACAGACAAAGACAAATAAACAACCATCTGTTTCATCTTTCATGTGCTGCTGCAGAAAGGTGGAAACTAAACAATCCAGATTCATTTTGGCCCAGAAGGAGAGAAACTGAGTCGAGTTGTTCCCTGAACACGCCGCGCTCCTCGTCTCGCTGCAGAGCTGTGAAGGACCGCTGAGTGGATGCCAAATGATCAAGGACAAGGAGCGCGCTCTTCAACGGCGACGCTGAAAACTAATTACACAACCGTTCCTTCTGTCAGCACAGAGTCAAGGACGCAGCGGCCGGACTCGGCGAACGCACCACAGCAAAGAACCACAGAGACACGACTTCAGGCTCCACTTTCTCCACACAGACATTCACCTTCATGCCCAAAAAATACTAACTTTTCACGTTATTTAAAGAATATTAAGAAAAAAGTATATTCTCTTGGCTTTAAAGGCCTTCCTGCTGGAGGGAGCTTCAGCAAAAGTTACAGCAATAACTTGAAAGCCATGTTGACCTACAAAAATAACAAGCAACGTGAAAGTCTTCATGAATAAAAACATGAGCGAGTCACAGCCGATTTCAGAGGGGAGGAAGGAAAAATCAAACGTAATCCAAAGCGATGGGTAATTTATAACGTCCATTAGCAGAGAGGAGGTCGGATTTGGAAAACGAAGCGAAGCTGCAGACGGGAAACATGGAAAATCCAACTTTTGTTTTAGTCATTCAGGCTACGAATGAAATTAAATGCAAACGTAATCAGATTTCTTCTTTTTAAATAAATTATTTTATTTTTATTCACCAATTAGTGTATATAATTATGACCGACTAACAAAAGGATCTACAAAATAAATACATGGAGAAACGAATAACATCAACAAAAATAAACAAACCAGAAAATAAGGAGGTTTATATTAAAATGGATACAAAAAACAAGAATATTGATAAATATTTGTTGTTATTTATCAAGAAATATGATAAATAAGAGCAAATAAGACTTTTAATATCATTTACTTTCTCTCTAATATTCCATAATTAGATTATGGTCGCAGATAATTTGGGTAAAAGTGGAAAATAAAATAAAAGTACAAGTATGTGGCCCCATGATTGACTTTGTGCGGCTGAATTTTTATTTCAACATAAACTGAACTGAGTGGCATTCTGGCGTCACCTAGCAACCCCGGTCCAGCCCAACCCGTCACCTAGCAACCCCGGTCCAGCCCAACCCGTCACCTAGCAACACATGCTGAGCAAAATAAAGGAGTCAATTTAATTTAAAATTAATTTCACAGATTTTCAAGAAGAAAAGTTGAAAATTTTCTACAAAAATGTTTTTTGAAAATTTCTCTGTTTGAAAATTTCTCAGTTTGAAAAGTCCAAAAATTTGCTAGAAAAAAAGAAATTTTAGGTTCAACACTACTATGTTCAGAAAAACTTAGGAATTTAAAAGTTAAAAAAATTAGAACATTTTCAACTTTTCAAAATTGAGTTTCAAAAGTCACAAATTTCAGATATTTTCCAGAAAATTTCAGAGATTGATCTCAAAACTTCTGAGTTTTCTAGAGCATAGTTGTAGCCTGCCGCCATTGGGGGGCGTGGCCAACAGCTGCTTATTTAAAGTGACAGACACCCTGAAACAGCTCATTCTGAAAGGAGCTAAGAATAGACTAAAATCTCATTATGTGAGAATAATTTTGTATAAAAAATGTAATGAACATGTTTGCATTGGCAGTGTGATTCAGTAGGTCCCCTTGAAGCAGCAAAAGCAGTTTGATTATCTAAAAATATAAGCGGCTCTTTTGTTTTATTTTTACCAGTAATCCAATCCCAACAAAACCAGTAAACAGAAAACATCAGTGGAGCAGGAAGGAAGAGACAAGAGTGTAAACAATAATAAGCACATAATAAAGTAGGTCACTACAGATACGCTGCAGTCTGGTTCAACCCACACAAACAGAGCCGAGGAAAACAAGCAGCCGTTTGTGTTCAGCTTCCCGAGGAGAGAAAATACATAATCCACTGCAAAATATTACAATATGTCTGTTTTCACTGTTCGTCTGACAAACCTGGCAGCAGCAAGATTAGAACGTAAATGTAGAAAAATGCAGCTCTGCTGTGATTTCATTTACTCTGGCCAGCATCACAAGTCACATGATCAACAGCTGGATGTTACTACTGCTGGAAACAACAAAGAACACAACAGGAAATGGTGGGAGAATTATATTTTTTAATGATCTATTGTGTGAAAAAAACTATTAGTCTGATTTTAACTGCATTTATTATTTAAAAGAAACACTAAGTGTGAGATTGTTTTTCTGACATTGGCAGAATATTGACAACGTTTTGCAGACTTTTGTAACTGAAACACATGGAGTGATGCATTCTGGGAATGTTGACTCACCAAACAAAAACACAAAAACAGCAAACAAAGTCACTTGCATTTAAAAAATAAAGCTTTCAAACACCACAAAGTTTCAATAATCATGGGATCGTTTTTCTCTTAAAGTGACAGTATTCTGTAAAATTAACATTTTTTTATCTTTCCGTTGTGATAAAATGTTTTTCCCTCATCAAAAACAAACCTGATTCTTTCATGTTTGAGAAATCTTTCAATTTCCATGGCAATAATTTGGCTGTTAAAACATCTGGATGGACCTAGCCCCGCCTTCTCCTCCCCCACTCAGCTCCTTCAGACTAGCCAGCAGCAATTAACAAACATCTATTGAGCTCATTATAGCAGCTGCTGCTCAGAGCAACGCTGGTAAAAATGTTAAAGGGTTAATAGGGGAGCCATGTTGGGATGACTTCCTGGAGGCGGAGCTTCAGAAAGAGCAAGAGTTCTTAAAGAGACAGAGGCCCAATTTCAAAATGTTAAATCAGAAAGTCAAATTTCTTTAAGTCATATTTGAAAAATCTATAACTTTTATAACAGCTGTAAGATGTTAATTGAACCATTGAAGCCCGTTGACATCAGATTGCCAGAATGAAACTCACCGGCCAGAACTCCTGCCATGTAGAGCAAACTTATCCGTAAGATGCCGTGAACCATCTCTAAAGGAACGCCGATCATCAGCTGCAGCAGAGCGTTAAATCCCAGCTGCTCCAAACTGAGGAGACGAAAAGTTTAATTTGGTCTCATTAGTAGCAACCAGAGCAAAACCAGACGATCAGCAGCTCAACATACCCAACATGCATGAACATGTAGCTGAAGAAGCGCCAGACTTGTGCGCGGTGGCCGGGATGGTAGACCAGCGGACTCTTCATGAAGTCCAGCTGGTACGTCTGCAGGACCCACTTATTGAGCATGATGCCGTAGCACATGAACACGATTATCTGCAACACAACACACACCATGAACACGATTATCTGCAACACAACACACACCATGAACACAATTATCTGCAACACAACACACACCATGAACACAATTATCTGCAACACAACACACATCATGAACACGATTATCTGCAACACAACACACATCATGAACACGATTATCTGCAACACAACACAGCATGAACACGATTATCTGCACAACACACAGCATGAACACGATTATCTGCAACACAACACACACCATGAACACAAATATCTGCAACACAACACACACCATGAACACAAATATCTGCAACACAACACACAGCATGAACACGATTATCTGCAACACAACACACACCATGAACACAATTATCTGCAACACAACACACACCATGAACACGATTATCTGCAACACAACACACATCATGAACACGATTATCTGCAACACAACACACACCATGAACACGATTATCTGCAACACAACACACACCATGAACACAATTATCTGCAACACAACACACATCATGAACACGATTATCTGCAACACACACATGAACACGATTATCTGCAACACAACACACACCATGAACACAAATATCTGCAACACAACACACCATGAACACGATTATCTGCAACACAACACACACCATGAACACGATTATCTGCAACACAACACACACCATGAACACGATTATCTGCAACACAACACAGCATGAACACGAATATCTGCAACAACACACACACACACCATGAACACAAATATCTGCAACACAACACACACACCATGAACACAAATATCTGCAACACAACACACACCATGAACACGAATATCTGCAATACAACACACAGCATGAACACGAATATCTGCAACACAAAACACACCATGAACACGATTATCTGCAACACAACACACACCATGAACACGATTATCTGCAACACAACACACACCATGAACACGATTATCTGCAACACAACACACACCATGAACACAATTATCTGCAACACAACACACACCATGAACACGATTATCTGCAACACAACACACATCATGAACACGATTATCTGCAACACAACACACACCATGAACACGATTATCTGCAACACAACACACACCATGAACACGATTATCTGCAACACAACACACACCATGAACACGAATATCTGCAACATAACACAACACACACCATGAACACAAATATCTGCAACACACACACACCATGAACACGATTATCTGCAACACAACACACACCATGAACACGAATATCTGCAACACAACACACAGCATGAACACGATTATCGGCAACACAACACACACCATGAACACAAATATCTGCAACACAACACACACCATGAACACGAATATCTGCAACACAACACACACCATGAACACAAATATCTGCAACATAACACACACCATGAACACGAATATCTGCAACACAACACACCATGAACACAATTATCTGCAACACAACACACAACACACACCATGAACACGATTATCTGCAACACAACACACACCATGAACACAATTATCTGCAACACAACACACACCATGAACACAATTATCTGCAACACAACACACACCATGAACACAATTATCTGCAACACAACACACACCATGAACACGATAAAAAGCCGATCAGGCGTCCTGCCAAAGAAAAACTCATTGTACTTTCTGAGACGTTTTGGTCTTTTTCTGTAGAATTGAGCTATAGAAACTGAATTGAGACAATTACTGCCTGCAGGAAAAAAAGATACATCTGGTTCAGCTCCATTAATTTCTTTTCATGGGATAATGGCTTATTGTCTCTGTGAATTAAAATGGATGTGAACAGTTATTATCAGACTCTCGCTGTCATTACAGCCGTTCGGAGGAACTGAAGGCGACTCGCCTTCCTGATGAGTTCAGGGAAACCAGGAAGTTTTCTTGGTTATTTTACCTGTAAAATCTCAAACTATTCAGATGATGCGATAGAAAACTGAACCAGGCTAAGAAGAAACTAAATCATTACAGCGGAGTCAAATTATTATGAGAAAAAAAATATTACAATGAAAAGTTGAAATACCAGAAGAAACTCCGTACAGGAAAGTGAGAACTGCTGTTTGCTTAAGTCATGACGTTATGAGACGCAATAAGAGAAAAAAGTCAGTAATACAATGTATGATAAAACGTCATAATATGAGAAGAAATTGTACGACAAAAATTTTTTAAAGAATAAAATCGTAATAAGATAAAACGACGATGCCTTACGAGAATAAAGATTTTATGTAAAATCAAACAAAAAGACAATAAAAATTGGAGTATTATTGAGCTTTTTACTTTGGAAGTGAAATTATTACCATTAGCAGGACTTTAAAACGACTGAAGAAACATCTGACTTTATTCTATTTGAAGCTGTTTTACTCTCATTAAAACTATTATTTTTTGGTAATATTGTGTCTTTGTAGTCATAATATTACGACTTTATTCTTGTAGGTAAGAAAAAATGACTGGCTCTAATGCGCCATCATAACACGACGGATTCCAAGTATTTTTTATTGAAATGAATCCGTCCTTTAATGCGTCTTTAGCGACGATCCGACATCAGAGGCTGAATTTCCTGCAGCAGTTTTTCCTGAGGAGGATTTAAAGGAGCAGCGGCTCAAACTGAGCGCCATCAAAGGCAGGAAATCTCCTCAAACGCCTCAGAAAAACGGGATTATTGTTTTAGAAAACGTGTCAAACTCAAGGCCCGCGGGCCAAAACCGGCCCGCCGTAGACTTCTATATGGCCCAAAGAATCTTCAAAATAACTGCTGTTTGCTTACATAATATTTTATCAGTCAAATGAAAGCAGTTTTTAACAGAAGAGGATTAGGGGGAGAGAAAGAAAATCTTAATTTTTCTTAGAAATTTGACTTTTTTTCTCCAAAATTTCAATATTTTCCACAAAATTCAGATTTTTTTCTTTGTATTTTGAGCTTTTCTTTGAATTCTGACATTTGATCTCAGCAGATTAAAGCCAGAATATATATGAAAACTTCGTCCGCAGTATTCATATGTATTCTGCCAAATTTAAAGTGAAATGAGGTTCGGTATCATTTAGCTCCAAGAAGAACTGAAGTGGTTTGTTTTGGGGTTTTATCAGGACATTCTACCACAACCGGCCCTTTAAGGACGTCCCTTTAAGGACGCCCCGAAATAAAAACGAGTTGGACTTCCTGCTGGCAGAGGGAGTCTCACCTGGACGATGGTGACGACGGCGATGAAGACGGGCGGAGGACAGAGGCGGTTTGGTGGAAGTACCAGCGCCGGTCCGTCTCGCATGGCAGGATCTCGTAGGCCACATAGCGGACGAAGCGTTTGTACAGTCCAAGGCCCGTCTCGTCCAGCAGGATTTCCCTCTGCAGGGTGCGGCGGCCGTTAGCGATGGCGCGCCGGAAACTGCTGGAGCGCTTGCTGCTCATCTGAGGACCCAAGAAAAACAGTTCTCTGTTTATGACTCACATGACCCGACATGATTCTGATTCAACTCCTTCAATTAAAAGTTGAAACCACCAGTCCTCTTTAACCCGGTTCAGTCGGTGTGAATGCTAAGCTAACTCTGGTCCTTCGGTCTGAACTCTGGATCGGTTTGAACCGGAGACCGCTCCAAAAGCAGGAAGTGGACTACAGTGCCGGGCATTCTGGGTAAATTCAACCAACTAACATGCTAGCCTAGCGCTAGCAGAAGAACTGGCTCGTTTATTTCAGCTGAAGACGAGTTGTGATTCCATTGAGCTCATAACTCCGCAAATTGGTCAACATTTGATCCAAATGAAATGATTTATATAAGTGCTGGACAATAAATCAATATGTATCGCAGTAAACGTGATCAATATTGAGAGATGAAACATCTGAGACACTATTGAACATATGAAATAATCCAAGTTGGTGGGATCAACCAACTCTCACTAGCAACGACCTGCTGAGTAACTGGAGCAGCAGCAGTTCCAAGTTTCCAAACTTTGTCTCAAAACTGCTTAAAAAAAAGAAAAACATGGAGAAAAAACTGAATAAAACAGAAAATGTTTGATTAGCTTTTGTTTCAATCAATAATTATTGATCAACTCATATGAAACGCTTCTTTTCTGATGTTTTTTTTAGCCATATGGTTAGCCTTAATTTTTACAAAACAAAATCACTCAGCAAAATTATCCAGAAAGATGAAGTAGAAAACTAAAATATGTTGTCAGCTCCAGTTTCTGATTTAAAAAAGAAGAAGAAACGCTGACCAGGCAGATTTACAAAAAAACAAAAAACTTTTATTTCAACATTTTAATAATTCTGGAGCAAAAACCTTGTGGGTCAAACAAAAACTGATGAATTTTCTGTTTATTAAACCAAGGAAGGAAATAGGTTCAGCTTTTTCCTCATATTTCAGCATCAAATGAAATATTAATATCAAAGTTATGTTGCTGATCTAATTTAGCTGCAAGAGACTCGACAAAACTGCTGCTGAATATTCATGAAGAGAAATGGATTAAAAATACATAAGTGTCTTTTGACTGAGATGAAATGAATGACGCCGGCTGCCAGCAGCACCGATTCATTGGAAATAACAGCTCAAGGCTTTTTACGCTCACTGAAAGCTGCTTTTTGTTCACAGGAACGATTTCCAAGGTTCCTCTAAAATGTGAGCGCTCTGATGTTCGCACAGTGCAGGTCTGCTATAAAGCACAGGTTTCAAACTCAAGGCCCACGGGCCAAATCCGGCCCGCCATAAAGTCTTTATGTGGCCCATAAAAGAAAAAAGAAAAACAAAAAAGGACCTTGAAAAAAACTGCTGTATACTTAAATAATATTTTATCAAATAAAAGCAGTTTTCAACAGAAGAGAATTGGGGAAGAAGAACAAGAAGCAGAATTTACCAGAATTATTCTGACTCCAATCTTCTACAATCAAAACTCAGAATTCTGGGGGGAAAAATATCAATTCTCGGAAAAAATTAAGCATTTGAGAAAAGTCAAAATTCTGAGAACAATTTTAACAATTCTGAAAAAAATATTCTAAAAATTCTCATGATTTTGATTTTTCACCTATTAAATATAATATATATAACAAAATTTTCTTTTCCATGGCAGTAATCTCCTTCCGTAGTTTTCATATGCTAACTGCTAAATTACATCAATGTAAAATGATGTTCGATATTATTTAAATTTAAGAAGTACTCGTCAAGTAATTCTAATTTTATTGGCTTGTTGTTGGGATTTATCAACATTTTATCACAACCGGCCCTTTAAAGACTTTCAAAATAATGTCGACTGACATGGAGCCATAGAGGCTTGGGAGGAAAACCGTCCCAACGCCGCCGTGGATTCACACACTGACATTTCCTTTCAGCCGAGTTTCAAAATGAAGGTTCTGTCAGCACAGCAGGGATCCTTTCAGCGGCTGACAACTTCAGCTGAACAATGCGGCTCAGGAAGCTGACGAAGCAGCCGCTGAGAAAAACTGAGGAGTTGGGAGGAAGGAGGAGAGGAGGAACAACAACCTGCAGAGGAACGGCGGGTCACGATAACGAGGCACCGGAGGACAGAAACATGGAACCAATGAGCAAAAACTCAACAGCATAGAAGGTTCAGCAGAACTGGAAAGTCTCCACAAGGCTTCCTTCTCCCACATTTCATATTTCATCAAGACTCAGGAATTATCAAGTTCATTTCAATTAATTAGTTAGATAGATATTAACATGTAAAACCTGAACGCTGGTTTTCCACATAAAGGTTCCGGCGGGAACCTTTGTGTTCTCACGTTTCTCATACGTCTGAAAACCTGACGCACAAGCGACATTAAAAACAACAACGATTGATTATATGTAGGTTGGAGCTAAATATTTAGTTTGAAGATAACTAGTTAGCAAATTAATTTGCTTAGCTTCTAAACTAAATATTTACCTTGATAACTAAAATATAATATTTACATGGAAGCTAACTACTTAATTTCAAACTAAACATTTAGCTATCTCTGAGCCAAATATTTAACTTGAAGCTTGCTCACTAGATTTTTAGTTTGTAAAACAAATATATACTTTTTAAGCTAAACATTTATTTGCAAACAAAATATTTAGTTTAGAGTTAAACATTTAGTTTCTAAACTAAACATTTACCTTGCTAACTAAATATTCAGCTATCTCACAGCTAAATATTTACACTAAATATTTATTTGCTGAAGTAAATATTGACCATCAAACTACATATTTAGCTACTCAGAGCAACATTTTTATTTTGAAACTTGTTCACTAAACATTTGTTTTCTAAACTAAATATTGAGTTGGAAATAAAATATTTAGCTTGCTAATTGATATATTCAGGTTCAAACTGTGATATTTTATATATATATATATAAAAATAAAAAAAAAAATTCCCTTCTCACCCACCGCGGGTGGTTCTTATCCTCTGAGCTCGGTCCTCTACCAGAGGCCTGGGAGCTTGAGGGTTCTGCGCAGTATCTTGGCTGTGCCAAGGACTGCACATTTCTGGACTGAGATGTCTGATGTTGTTCCTGGGATCTGTTGTAGCCACTGCTCCAGTTTGGGGGTTACTGCCCCGAGGGCCCCGATGACCACAGGCACCACTGTGGTCTTCACCTTCCAGGCCCTCTCCAGTTCTTCCCTGAGGCCCTGGTATTTCTCCAGTTTCTCCTTTTTCCTGATGTTGCAGTCGCTTGGTATTGCTACATCTACCACAACGGCTTTCCTCTGATGTTTATCCACTACGACAATGTCTGGTTGGTTCGCCATTACCATTTTGTCTGTCTGGATCTGGAAGTCCCACAGGATCTTAGCTCTGGCGTTCTCCACCACCTTTGGGGGTGTTTCCCACTTTGATCTCGGGGTTTCCAGTCCATATTCTGCACAGATGTTTCTGTACGCTATGCCTGCCACTTGGTTATGTCTCTCCATGTACGCTTTCCCTGCCAGTATCTTGCACCCTGCTGTGATGTGCTGGACTGTCTCAGGGGCCTCCTTGCACAACCTACACCTTGGGTCTTGTCTGGTGTGGTAGATCTGGGCCTCTATTGCTCTGGTGTTTAGGGCCTGTTCCTGGGCGGCCAGGATGAGGGCCTCTGTGCTGTCCTTGAGTCCAGCTTTTTCCAGCCATTGGTAGGATTTACTGATATCAGCCACTTGGGTTATTTGCTGATGGTACATCCCATGTAGGGGCTTGTCCTCCCATGATGGTATCTCTGGCACCTCAACCTCCGTTCCCTGTTGTCTGAGACATTCACTGAGCACATTGTCTGTTGAGGCTTTGTCCCTGATGTATTTATGGATCTTAGTTGTTTCGTCCTGGACAGTGGTTCTCACACTCACTAGTCCTCTGCCTCCTTCCTTGCGGCTCGTGTACAGTCTCAGGGTGCTGGATTTGGGATGGAACCCTCCATGCATTGTTAGTAGCTTTCTAGTCTTAATATCTGTGGCTTTTATCTCCTCCTTTGGCCAGCTAATTATTCCAGCAGGGTATCTGATTACTGGCAGGGCATAGCTGTTTATCGCACGGATTTTGTTCTTGCCATTGAGCTGGCTTCTCAGGACTTGCCTTATTCGTTGGAGTATTTAGCTGTGGCTCCTTTCCTTGTGGCCTCATCGAGGTTGCCATTTGCTTGTGGTATACCTAGGTACTTGTAACTGTCCTCTATGTCTGCTATTGTTCCTTGTGGGAGTGAGACTCCTTCTGTGCGGATCACCTTCCCCCTCTTTGTGATCAGCCGACCACACTTCTCTAGTCCGAATGACATCCCAATGTCAGTGCTGTAGATCCTTGTGGTGTGGATCAGTGAGTCGATGTCTCGCTCACTCTTGGCGTACAGCTTGATGTCATCCATGTAGAGGAGGTGACTGATGTTGGCCCCATTTTTGAGTCAGTATCCGTAGCCCAGTCTTGTTGGATTCATTCTCCCTTGTGTATCTCTTTAGTACTGGTCTTTTCATTGCACCCTTGTGGAGCTCTGACAGTTGGCTCACTTCCCTCCTTGTTACCTTGATTTTAGCCTCTAACCGTCTTTTCCATGGTGGGTATTGGGTCTCATGGTTGCTCTTATAGCCAAGTATCTCAAGGATCACTGATGCTGAGTTGTAGATCAGCTCATTGGTTTCTGTTATGGTGCTGGTAGGGATCGTTCTCAATGCTGCATTCACATTCTCAATGAGACTTTCAGATGGTACTTCACTCAGCCGTTGTAATTGGCGCCGGGGAGGCCTGGTTGTCATTCGGGTCATGATTCTCTCTCTCAGGTCAGCAGCTGTCTCGTTCAGCTCTGTTTCGCTCATTGGGCCGTGTATCCCCTCACTGGGTGGAGACTTGTAGTTTAAGTCCCCACAGTCCTGACATCCGGGTTCCTCCCTTTTGCCGTAGCATTTGTGTTGTATCTCGTCAATCTCAAGTTGTGATAGCAGTTGCCGTTTGCGGATGTTGGAACATGAGCTACTAGTTGTTTAGCACTTAGTGTTGACTGGGGATGTCGAAGTAACCATTCCTTCCCCAGTCTTTGCATGTAACCTCTCTCACTAGGGTTACTTGAGTAGTAGCATTCCAACATCCACATTTTCATCTCTCGCCCATTTCCGTCTTGTTCCAGTAGCCCATTTGTCATCAAGGTGCTCTGGTTCCCCAACACCTGACACAGACCTTGTTTGGCCGGGCGACGTCTGAGCCGGCATGTTATGCAACTTAATATCTCTCATGGTATGAGGTAGGCAGTAGCTTGAAGGGTCTTGCCTAAGGACCCAGACTGGATTCGAACCCTGCCCTCTCGGTGATATACTGATGCCTTATGTATTGAGCTATCCAGTCAGCTCATATATATATATAAACACATGAGCACGGCACAGAAGGGTATCGGTGTAAATAGCAGAGGAGCCAAACACCAACTCTTCGTAGACCGCACAGTTGCCCGAGACTGCAAAACCCGACACACCAACCTGTGCATGGCTTGGATTGATTACAAGAAAGCCTATGACTCAATGCCGCATACTTGGATCATTGAATGCTTAGAGATGTATAACATCAACAGGACTCTGAGAGCCTTCATTGCAAACTCGATGAGGCTGTGGGAAAACCACCTTTGAAGCCAACTGCAAACCACTTGCACAAGTGTCCATCAAATGTGGCATATACCAAGGAGATGCTCTGTCCCCGCTACTGTTCTGCATAGGCCTGAACCCCCTCAGCCAAGTTATCAACAAGACTGGCTACGGATACAGACTCAAAAATGGGGCCAATATCAGTCACCTACTACATGGATGACATCAAGCTGTACGCCAAGTGTGAGCGAGACATCGACTCACTGATCCACACCACCAGGATCTACAGCACTGACATTGGGATGTCATTCGGACTAGAGAAATGTGGTCGGCTGGTCACAAAGAGGGGGAAGGTCATCCACACAGAAGGGGTCTCACTCCCACAAGGAACAATAGCAGACATAGAGGACAGTTACAAGTACCTAGGTATACCACAAGCAAATGGCAACCTCGATGAGGTCACAAGGAAAGGAGCCACAGCTAAATACCTCCAACGAATAAGGCAAGTCCTGAGAAGCCAGCTCAATGACAAGAACAAAATCCGTGCGATAAACAGCTATGCCTTGCCAGTAATCAGATACCCTGCTGGAATAATTAGCTGGCCAAAGGAGGAGATAAAAGCCACAGATATTAAGACCAGAAAGCTACTAACCATGCATGGAGGGTTCCATCCCAAATCCAGCACCCTGAGACTGTACACGAGCCGCAAGGAAGGCAGAGGACTAGTGAGTGTGAGAACCACTGTCCAGGACGAAACAACTAAGATCCATAAATACATCAGGGACAAAGCCTCAACAGACAATGTGCTCAGTGAATGTCTCAGACAACAGGGAACGGAGGTTGAGGTGCCAGAGATACCATCATGGGAGGACAAACCCCTACATGGGATGTACCACCAGCAAATAACCCAAGTGGCTGATATCAGTAAATCCTACCAATGGCTGGAAAAAGCTGGACTCAAGGACAGCACAGAGGCCCTCATCCTGGCCGCCCAGGAACAGGCCCTAAACACCAGAGCAATAGAGGCCCAGATCTACCACACCAGACAAGACCCAAGGTGTAGGTTGTGCAAGGAGGCCCCTGAGACAGTCCAGCACATCACAGCAGGGTGCAAGATACTTGCAGGGAAAGCGTACATGGAACGACATAATCAAGTGGCAGGCATAGTGTACAGAAACATCTGTGCAGAATATGGACTGGAAACCCCGAGATCAAAGTGGGAACACCCCCAAAGGTGGTGGAGAACGCCAGAGCTAAGATCCTGTGGGACTTCCAGATCCAGACAGACAAAATGGTAATGGCGAACCAACCAGACATTGTCGTAGTGGATAAACATCAGAGGAAAGCCGTTGTGGTAGATGTAGCAATACCAAGTGATTGCAACATCAGGAAAAAGGAGCACGAGAAACTGGAGAAATACCAGGGCCTCAGGGAAGAACTGGAGAGGGCCTGGAAGGTGAAGACCACAGTGGTGCCTGTGGTCATCGGGGCCCTCGGGGCAGTAACCCCCAAACTGGAGCAGTGGCTACAACAGATCCCAGGAACAACATCAGACATCTCAGTCCAGAAATGTGCAGTCCTTGGCACAGCCAAGATACTGCAGGACCCTCAAGCTCCCAGGCCTCTGGTAGAGGACCCGAGCTCAGAGGATAAGAACCCCCCGCGGTGGGTGAGAAGGGAATTTTTATATATATATATATATATATATATATATATATATGCACATTTATATACACACACATTTATAACATGATGAAAATATGACTTTGAACCCCATTTTTTCCTCATATGACAGAATAAATATCCCTAATTATCGCTGTTTATTTTTCATTCTGTGATGCATCAACCCTTTTCTCCTTGAACTCTTAGAATCTTGAACCAGGAAGTGAAAGAATGCAGCGTCTTTCTGCTGCGTCTCCTGTCTGCTGTGCGTTTATTCGCCGTACGTTGGGCTGGGTGACGGCAACCTGCTGCTCCCTCCCATTCCTGTTGCCTCTGTGAAGATTTGTTCCCTGCAGACACGGCTTAGCATAGCTGTCACTCCGCCTCACCGTGTTCGACGTGCGGCGCCGCCGCCTCTAAAGCGCGCATTAGCGGCCTTTTGAAGTGACGACAGGAGAGAGACAGCGAACAGAACGCCAGGCAGCCCTGAACCGGCTTCAGAGCACAAACATCTGCACTGAGAATAAACAGGCTGCCGGAGAAACACTGCAGGCTCCCTGCTGAGGAATAATTAATGTTGAGGCTATAAACACCATGTCTAAAGGGGCAGTGTTCTGAAAATCTCTTTAGTTATTGTTTAGATATTTTTTGATTAAAGTTTTACTTTGATTCTTTTATTCATGTTTGGGAAATCCTTTAATATCCATGGCAACCATTCCGCTGTCAAAACGCCTGGATGGGCTGAGCTCCTCCCCCACTCCGCTCCTTCAGACTAGCCAGCAGCAATTAGCAACCAGCTGCTGAGCTCATTATAGCTGCTGCTTCCTAAAGCAACGCTGGTGAAACCATGAAAGGATTAATAGAGGAGCCATGTTGGGACGACTTTCTGGAGGCGAAGCTTCAGAAAGATTTAAAGAGACAGAGGCCCAATTTCATGGCATTAAATGGGGAAGAAAGGCTTTTATGAAGTCATATTTCATATATAAAGCATTTTTCTAACAATTGAAGTTAGCAGTTGCTTGACTGTGCTATAAAATTGCACTTTGTGCCTGGAAAACACACAACACCGCCCCGTTAAAACTGCTTCTGCAGCTGGAGCGGCATCTCCTGCAGCTGGAGCGGCATCTCCTGCAGCGCTGCGACCAACTGAATCTTTGGCTTGATTTTCCTCTGTCAAGATGAAGTTTAACATCAATGTTAAGGTTTTTGTAGTTTCTCAATTAAATTTGACTTGGCCATCGTAAGACATGAATACATTCAATGTAAGCCGGTGGGGTCCAAATGGGCCAAATGGTCCAAACATTTTGAAGTTAAAAGCTTTAATGGAAAGGAAAGAGCGGCAGAGTTTCGAACAAATTCAAAACAACACGACTAAAAGTGTCGCCGCTCTGATTATATTCATGAGTCGCGTGTCGGCCCAAACCTCCATCTGATGCATTCAGAACCTTAAAGCAGTGGATCTGACCCAGATACTCAGGTTATTTCTCACATCCTTTTAAAATGAGACTCTGCTCCATTCTGGTTTTCCCCCTCAGCAGGTTCTGACCAAACCGTTGCTTCATGGTTTAATCATGGCTCAGAAAATAAACCGTCGCTCTCAGACACAGGCAAAGTGCATCAAAGTCACTGTTTGAAACGCAAAAATGTCGGCTGGAGGTTGAAATGGAGGCTGAGATGCTGACAGGTAACAAACTGCACTTTGGCTCTAAATGGCTTTAAATGGCTTTAAAAGGCGACTTTTAGAGGAAATGTAAAGTTTCTGCTGTGAAGAAAATATGAATATGTGCAGCTATTTGGAAAGAAGTTTAAAAAAAAGAGCCTAAAAGCAACAACACTGCAAAAACATAAAATATCACCAAGTTTTTCGATTAAAAATATTTCAGTACATCTGAAATAACACAAAACTCAGTTTTCAGCAGCTTGTCTTAAGTCAGTCATTTTAATAAAAACACAGTAGTAATATTTCTTATAAATACAAAGGAATTATTGACTTAAAACCAGTTCATAAAAAGTTACTTGTAAATTAGTTTTGTCTAATTTCAAGTGGAATTCAATATTTGCACTAAAACTACAAAAAGAAAACTTGGTAAGGTTTTGTGTTTTGCATATTTGAAATCAACGTCAACATCAGAAAGACAAACCCTGAAAGGTTTTCATTCTTATAACTGTGTAACTGTAAAACCAGCCATTCCTGCACTGAAGCCGTTCAAACACTGAGAATGAATCTGTTCAATCAAAATACTGAACAGTTCTTCAATTTACTGCATTGATAGAAAAGAACATGATCAAATCAGTTTTATTTTGTAAAAACCAAGTTAAAACCAATAGTTATTGACATTAATATCATGCAAAATGCCATTTTAATTTTATTATCTAGAAGTATTAACATCCAGTGATGTGTTAGCTTTAGCTGCAGTTTGAATTACTTCAACCCGGCTGGATTCCTGTAAATCAACGCCCGGGTCTGTTTCAGCGCCCGTCCGGCTGCCGGCCCGTTTAGCGGTTCTCCTCCATCTGTGAGTTTAAGTGTCTGGATTTACGGGCTGAGATTGATTCTCCTTTGCAGGACGGCCGCCGAAACGATCCAGGAGCTTTCCAACTCGTGGATGCAGTAACCTTTCCTGAAGTCAAATCGTTGTGTTGGACTCACCAGCTCGATGAGCTCCTGGTAGCACACCTGGCCCTCCTCATTGTTCTGGACCAGCGCTAACAGCATGTCCAGCTTGGACGGGTCCAGCTGCAGCTCATGGTGCTCCACCAAGCTGGTGAAGTTCTCCACTGGGATGAAACCGGTGTTCTCTGGGTCCAACTGCAACGAAAAACACACCAACTTGTCGGATCTTTCTGGAAAAAAAAAAAAAAAAATCAGTGTTTCTCAATGTGTGGGGTGCGGGCCACAGTGGGACCGCGCAGTGTGCTGGGAGGGCCTCACAGAGTGGAGGGAAAAAAGGTCCGAAAAAAAGAAAAAAAACTAATCTAAAATTTTTCAAACGATAAGTCATAATATCCACTCTGTTTTTTATGACAGATTATTAGGGACAGAACAAATATTTTGAGATTAAAATCTTAATATGAAAAAAAAATGATATTGCAAGAAAAAGTCGTACAAGAATTAAGTCATAATAAGAATTCAAAATGTTGTGTGACAGTAAATTGAAATAATAGCAGAATAGTTAAAATTATATGAGAAAAATAAGAACATTTGGATCTAATAGTTTTTAAAAGTTAAATCATAAAACAAAGGTACAAAGTTAAGAAAGTCATAATACTGTAAAAAAAAACAAAAAAAACAAACAAAGGAAACAAAAACATAATGATATAAAAGTCGTTTGAAACAAAGTCAAAATAATCCCAGAATAAAAATTGAGAATAATCTGAGAAAAATACAAAAATCGAATCTAATTGATTTTTAAAAAAAATGGTTATAATTTTTTATCATAAAATCTAATAATTTTTTTGCAGTGGCAAATTAGGGCCACAATAAAATAAATAAATTGTTAGAATAAAGTCATAATATTAAGAGAAACAGAGCTGACAGTGTAAATATTTGTAGGTCTTGATAGACATATTATTAATTTATCATTCAGCGACGTCCAGCAGCAGATTATTAATTTTTCTCTTTCTGTCCTAAATCCACCCGGCCGCTCCGCGGCGGCAGGGAGTTTCTCCTGCCAGCTCTGCTCAGTGCAGCTTTAGCTAAAAACCGCCGGAGGACAAACTGAGGAGGCAACAGAGATGCTGGGCGAGGAGCCGCGTCGCCGCTTCTCATGTCAGCCGCTCCTGAAAGCCGTCGCCTCGTTGGGCAGAAGAATCCAGGCCTGTCGGATCCCTGCTGCTCATTTCCAGGAGAGGAATCTCATCTGGGCGGCATGAGAATGGGGGCGTTAAGCTGCAAAGCGTGAAGCTCAGCTGCTCACAGAGGGAGAACCGACCAATCAGGACCCACTCTGCTTCCTTTCATGTGGGAAACATTTATTTCCCACATGAATGTTCCTAGAAATTTATGTGGGAAATTTCTGGGAACATCAGTAAAAAAAACAAAAAATGTCAGGGTTTGACTGCAAGTAGCAGATTAACAATTGCAGAAAAACATTCACAGCAGATGAATTAGCTGCTATGAAAACAGAATTCTTTTGTTCGCTGGTTGCTAATTGCTGCTGGCTAGTCTGAAGGAGCCGATTGGGGGAGGAGCTTTGCCTAGAAGGCGGGGCTACGTCCACCCAGACGTTTTGCTCAGCTGAATGGTTGCCATGGTGATTAAAGGATTTTTTCTGATGAGGAAAAAACAAACATGATGGAAAGTTTAAAAAAAGTCAATTTTACATGATGCCCCTTAAACTATAAATCTAAAAAGATGCGCTAACTATGAAGCACTAATCGTTTTAAGAAACATGAGGAGCATCAAAACCAGCCACACATGTGCAAACGCCTGTAAAGTTAAAAAAGAAACCTAAGAAAGTTTTTACCTTGATTTTCCACAAAAAATAGTCAGAAAATTATTTCTGTGTTGAAATGATGTCCTGGTCGTTATTTTGTGAGCAGTATCGTTTTCTTTCAGCTTATGTTGGCGCCCTAAAGCAGGAAGTGGACTACAGAGCAGAGCATTCTGGGTAAAGCTACCCAAAGCTAACATGCTAGCCTAGCGCTACCAGCAGAAATGGCTCCTGGTCTTTAGCCAAAGACCAAAGAGAAATCCTCCAACATTAAACTCTGACGCCTTGTTTCATCTGGTGAAACAGGAAGTTGCTCTCAGTGTCTTCAGAGTTTTTTTTGTCGTTTCCTTCAGTGGTTCTTGGTGCAGCGCCCCCACAGGCCAGGAGGGGAACAGGTTGGTCAAAGGGTTTGGTTGGTTTGACTGAAAATGAAACAAATGTTGCCGTTTGGATCCCAAATCCAACAGAATCTATGGAATCATCACATGTGAAAACTTTCCTCAGTCAAACCCGCTGCATATTCCCCACAGTAATCAGTGATTTGTGAACCTAAAACACACATGAAGCCAAAGCGCAGGGTGAAAACGGACTGAGGTGGCAGAAAGCCCAGGCCTATTTTTAGATAATCCCCCTTTTACTCCGAGGTCTGTGGGTATTTGCTGAAAGGCGGCCCTGTTTTCCCCTGAGGGGAGCCAAGCAGCGCGGTGCAGATATCTGCAGTGCCGCTAACGCACGGCGTAGCAGGACAAGGGGGCAGGAAGCAGAAAAGAGGGAAAAATGGGTGTGAGAGGTTAGTGGAAAGAAAAGAAACGATGGCGTTAAGGAGGAAGTCGGCCAGCAGAGAGGTGAGCCTCACTCCAGCGGCTCGCCTGCACAGAGACCAGAGACCAGTTTAGAGAAAGCTGATCACTGCCAGCTTCTGGGTGTCATCACTGCCGAAGGGCCGACCCCGAGCCGCCACGGCAACGACCCCGAGCCGCCGCGGCAACGACCCCGAGCCGCCACGGCAACGACCCCGAGCCGCCACGGCAACGACCCCGAGCCACCGCCACGGCAACGACCCCGAGCCACCGCCACAGCAACGACCCCGAGTCGCCACGGCAACGACCCCGAGTCAACAACTTTTTAAGCAAGCATTAAGGTTCTGTTTGTTAACGGGTGTTAACTCTTTTGCTCTTTAAAGCTGTTCTGACATCATCGCGAGCTGGAAGTGAATAAATGAGAAAGTTTTTGCAGATTTCTAAAGCAAAGTCTCCAAATTCACAGAATCAGTGTTCTGGTTTCTGTGTTGTGGTTTTTTCTGACAACTTTGGACAGAGAAATAAAAACGTGGTTTTGACTCACTGTAATCACGAGAAATCTTGAACTGAAACTTTTCAAACTGTGACGTTATTTTAGATATTTTGAAAGAGTTTGACTCAACACAAGTGGAGACGTGCAGTTTGACAACGTGAATGCAGAAACATGAAACTAACATTCAGGATTGTCCAAATGGATTCTCAGATTTCTGGAAGGTGAATCACTGATTTTATGCTCAAACTGCCTGCCGTAGGAACCAGAGAAAGCAGAGAGGGAATCAGATATTGAAGCAATTCAACACCAGCGAAGGCAAGCCGCACGCATTGCTATGGTTACCGGCTGCATTTCCCCCAACCAATGATCCCCCTCCGACATATTGGCTTCCCAGAAGCAAAGAAACTAAAGATTTTCCGCCTCCAGAAGATTGAAGGAAGGAGAAAAGGGGGCGGGTCCGAGGAGAGACGGCATTTTGGGGGTTGAGCTGAAACGGCGGTGGGAGATGATCGACAGCAGGGCGGCGGTCTGACGAGGAGAGCAGAGAAAACGTTGCATCAGCCTCAACGCTACGTCAGAAACAAATGGCACACATGAAACCCGAGGTGGGTCAAAGGTCAAAACACCTGGAGGAAACGCTGCATGGAGAAATCACACAGATTGAATCTAAAATGAGTAACTGGGAAAAATCAGATTGTGAATGAAACTGAACATCGGAACAAGTTTTATTTACTTTCACTACTTGTTTACTTCTACTTTAGGAATTTTATTATCAATTATTAACTCGGATAAAATTTCTGGATTTTTATTGAAAGAAACTGAAAAAAAATATTTTGTCTAATTTTGTTATGTTTGTTCCTTATATAAATTATTGTCATTTTGGTTCTTAAAGTACCAAAATTTCTACTTGATGTAATTTTTAAATATTAAATGATCGATAATTTGATCAGTTGATCAGTATTTGAATCGACTTTTTACCAAATACTTTTTACTGTTACTGCAGTATTTTCTGGGTAGTCTCACCACAATTACATGATTTCTTTATGAAAAAGAAATATTTAAACTTTGTACAAAAGACAACAGAAACACAAAGGAAACAGGAAATAGAAGCAAAGGAGAAAATGTTGCAACATTGCATACAAAACGCTACAGCAGATGTCCTCCAGACCACTAGAGGGAGTCAACCACACAAAACCAACCAGATCCTGAGTGAAGACGTCACGATTCAAAGGGAGAAAAGAAGAAAGAAAAGGTTATTGTTTGAGGTCAGACCAAGGTCACACCGTTCCAGTTCAGAAGTTTGGATTTCAACATGTGTTCATGTTTGCTGTCGGCCATCGTAACCCAGTCATACAGAAAATACTTTAGCCAGTTAGCTCTGAGGCTAAGAGGTCAACAGGTTACTACAGTCAGTGAGCAGCCTTGCTGAGAACCCATTGATAACTGCTTGCCGTTGTAGTTTTCATTCATTTATGGGAAAATATTATAATTATATTGTGTTGCAAAGTTAAAGCAGCATCTGACTGATTTCTGAAAGGTTTCTAAATTTGAAATGGGTAACAACGTCCTCACCATTGGCCTGAGCAGCAGAACTGCAGAGTATTTTGGTCCCGGTGAACTGAAGCTTGAATGATGCTGTGTGTGGAGCAAACGGTGGTATTTACAGGGTTCAGTTTGTTTATACTGGAATCAGAAAAACCCTGAGCGCCGTCTCTGCAGCCCTCAGCTCTCCAACAACAGGGTCAGTGACTGCAATAATCACACAGCATGTTCTGCATGTGTCTGTGCAACAGGAGGCCCCAAAGATCCAAACCACCCCCTCACCTCATGTAGGACGACTTCAGACTCCTACTTATAGTTTCCACAACCCAAACAATCACAGAGCAACACGTTTTGTCTAAACAGCACACAGACAAGCAGGAGGATTAAAGACAGGAGAGTTCTCACCGCTCAGCATGAACATGTCAAAAACACCCTGAAAACCCCGAGACGGGACAGAAATAACCCTGATCAGAACCAAACCAGACACAAGGAGAAAGTCCCACATCTATTTATGGCAAACTTCAGACGCCTGTCATGTTATCAGCAGTGCTGCAAAGTAAAGAGCAAAATGTGTGAGCTTACAAAGGCCAGAAATACCCTGAGCTCAGCACAGAACCTCACAGAGAGAGAACAACAAGCTGAGCCATGTGGCGCTTCCAGCCTGCCGCGCTCCTTTCAGCGCCGCAATATGCTGCACAGACATCGTCCTCCTCAAGACCTGCAGCTCCGTCTAAAGCTCTGCACTCCAGGCTGCTGCCTTTAACACATAAAATAAGCTTAGAAATAAAAACTATCAAGACCCAATGAGAGTGAATGCTTCCTGGTTTAGGGCAGCATTAACAATCACTCACAGACCACCTCACTAGAAATGTAGCCACAATAACAACCTGAAAACAACAAAGCTTTGATCTGGAAAATGTTTCCTGGGGAAAGGATGAGGAAAAGTGTCCAAGGTTTGGCCAGGCAGCAGATTGTTGGCACATTTTATTTCCTTTTGGTCCAATTAAGCAGAGCTTTCTGCAAATCAAAGGCCGCCACATGGAGTCCCATAAATAGACGGAAAAATCCGCCATCACCCCGAGAGATTGATTGGGTTCGGACCTGAACTTAATAGGACTGCTGTGGCTTTAACGAAGTGTCTGTACAAACGTCCTGGCATAAGCAAAATACAGCCGGCTGATCAATAAAACAAGTAGCAGTTTACAACCTGGAAATAACAGCTTCATGTCTCTGAGTCTCTGCCTCACATCACAACTGATCTCGACACAGATGAGTCAGACTCGCTCACGCAGGGCGAAGGGATCCGATCTGCTCGGCGTCTGGAGCGCCACCAGACAGAATCCTCTCAACCCGAGCCAACGCTTCTTTCACGAACACAGAAGGAAAGATGCTGGCGTGTGCGCATCCTCATGAACACACACACAGTCTGAAATAATGCTGGTGTGTCTGCAATCACAGAGAGCCGCAGTCCCTGGGGTCTGTTCAGCATGCTGCTGCCGGGTCACTCAGAACCTCTGAACCTCCTGCAGCCACCCCAATCAATTCCTCTCTCCACGTCAAAATGACCGACCCAATAAATCTGCCAATCAGCCCAAACCCCGACAGGCCCGTTCATTATCCAAGCCAAGAGCCGCACGGCTAAAATAAGAAACATCAAACCCTGCAGAGCTGCAAAAACTCAGAAATGTCCCGGTACCGTTTTCCACAGTCTCTAGCTAAAAATAAACGCGCTTTGGGTCGGGTCGTCCCCACAAGTCCGTCTGGGTTTGTTAATTCTGGACGTGGAAGACCGAAACTAAATCTGACTGCAAGGTTAAAAAGGCAGTTTTCGACAGAAGTTTACAGAAAGAAAGGTCCGAAAACCAGAGAACCAGAGAACCAGAGAACCAGAGAACCAGAAAACCAGAGAACCAGAAAACCAGAGAACCAGAAAACCAGAGAACCAGAGAACCAGAGAACCAGAGAACCAGAGAACCAGAGAACCAGAGAACCAGAAAACCAGAGAACCAGAGAACCAGATGTAATGAGGAACGTCTTCAGAAGTTTGCATGTGGTGGATCGATCCCAGTGGATCCGCAGCAGCTTTATATGATCAACATGTTGCAATAAATCAATTAATTAATCAATTACTCTCATGATAAATTAAAACAACAATCATTTCCATTTGTGTGATTTATTCTCTTTGTTCCAAAAGGATGATCAAGTTTCAGTTGGTGTTTCAACCAGCAGAGAATTCATCATCATTTCATTTATTGGTTTATTGATTTGGCATATTTAAATGTCTTGCAGTTTCTGTTTGATGCTCATTAGAATTTAAAGTTTATTGATTTTGATGATGTGTTTTTGTATTATTATATTACAACAAAATGGAGTCAAAGCAACAATATTATGGTTTAACTTCATGTCCAACGTTCACATCCATCAGGCGCCTCATGCTTCCCTTTCATCATCACTTAACAGAATCAGCCATGGCGCCCCTCCCACCCCTGCTGCTGGGTCTGACCTTCTGTTCTCCAGGCCGTCATGGCTCCACCATCTCACCTCCGTCTCCTGCAGCTTCGGCTGCCGTCAGCCCTCACCGCGTCCTCCACGTCTCCGTCCGCGGGTGAGACGGCGAGGTGGACGGCGAGCCTGCGTAACCATAGAAACCGCTGCCACACGCCGCCGCATGCTGCTTACCTGCTCTTGTATGAGCTGAAACAGGGAGCTTCTATCCATATACTGGCCAGGGAGGTGAGAGGAACCGCCGAGGACAAGGGCATAAGGAGCGGCGCGGCGCGGCGAGGTGGAGGAAGGAGACGCGGTTCGGTAGCAGCTGGTGCCTGAACTGTGGCGTCAGGCCGCTCCGCTGCTGCTGCTGATGATGATGATGAGGAGGAGGAAGCCTGGCGGTGTCTGGTTTTTCCCAGCCGGTGGAGCGATCCCAGAAAGGTCCGAGGGTCTGCTCGTGTCGGTGCGGCGCGGCGGCGAACCCAGCTTCAGACAGACGACAGGCGAAGGCAAGGCAGATCCAGGGTTCACTCTGCTCCTCCGCCTCCTCGCTCTCCTCTAGCCCATCGCACTGACGGCTACGTCTCTCGCTCGCCTCTCTCCTCATACACACACTGCGCCGCCTGCATGCCGATGAGGCGGGGGGAGGGAGGAGGTGGCCTCCTTCTTCCAATTGCAGGAGGCGAAGGAGTGGCGAGGGGCTGCGGCGCTTCTCACTACAAGAGAGGAGTCTTGGAGAGAGGATCCACTGCAGCTTTGCTTTTACTACTAGACACACACACACACACACACACACACACACAGAGACACACACACACACACACACACAGAGACACACACACACACACCACACAGAGACACACACACACACACACACACACAGAGACACACACACACACACACACCAGAGACACACACACACACACACACACCACACACAGAGACACACACACACACACACACACACACACACACACACACACACACACACACAACCAGAGACCACACACACACAGACACACACACACACACACACACACACACACACACACACAGACACACACACACACACACACAACACACAGAGACACACACCACACACACACACACAGACACACACACACACACACACACACACAGACACACACACACACACACACAGAGAACACACACACACACACACACAACCAGAGACACACACACACACACACACACACACACAGAGACACACACACACACACACACACACAGAGACACACACACACACACACAACCAAGACACACACACACACACACAACCAGAGATACACACACACACACAGAGACACACACACACACACACACACACAGAGACACACACACACACACACAACCAGAGACACACACACACACACACAACCAGAGATACACACACACACACACAGAGACACACACACACACACACACACAACCAGAGAC